TGGTTCATCTTGTAAGTGCTTAATAAATGCTTGTTGGACTGAACTGTAAGAGAACCCGTTATCTTTCATGCAAATTAATGATAGAGAAAACTCTTCAAAATACAAAGGAAGTAGGTTCACTTCATTTCTTTTAGTAAGTTTTCACTTTCAATGGCTGTGAAATGATGCACCTGACAAGTGTGCTGCTGATTTTATTCACAACTAAATGACAAGGCTGAATGACAGCTAGAAATGGATCTGAAATAATTTTACTGCTTGGTTTTTTTTTTTCTCTTTCGGTGTCAGTAATCCAAACTCCTTTTATCTCTATTTTGGATCACACTTGATAGGCTGAGCTGCTGTTCTTCTTCTGACCCTCCTCTAAACACCAATACAGATTCCAATAAGGAGCTTGTCAATGTGAGAGATAGAAGGAAGATGACATCATGGTTCTAGAGGAAAATATTGTTTCCCCTTACGGCTGTATCATCTTACCAGAACCACCCCCCAAAAAAACCCCAACACTAATGCTGCTGCCCAGGAACAAAAATGTTCATTCAAACTACCTGCTAACGTTGGAGTAAATTACTGGCCTTGATCTGTGGTTACTGGACTAGGGCATCTTGTCATTAGTGAGCCAACGACTCAATCTGAACAATCAGAACTGATTTTCCCAATTCCATTAAATTTGGGTACCGTGAGAAATGGTGAGCTCCTCTTCTAGTTCTCTGCTCACTAACAGTCCTCAGCTCTCATAAAGGAGGGACTGAAGGAAAAAAGTTTTCATTTTTAACAATATTACATGCATCATGCCTCACTAGAAACATAACGATTTTAAAAATAAAAATGAATGTTTAAAACATTTCTGCTCTCTGTCAAGTTAATTGACAGTTACCAAAATACTGGAAAGCTCTAGACCCTTTGGAGTATTTGTATTTACTGAAAAAAAAAAAGCTTTCTTTTAAAACACGCTGCTGTTGTCTGCTGCCTTGGGGTTTCTATAGCCATGAACTGAGAAGGGCAGGATCTGGATTTGGGATTTCACTGGCATAGGGACCTCCCTGGTGAGGAAACTCTGTGCAGGAGGCACCTTCGCAACACCTTATAGTTTTAGAAAGTTGTAGAGAGTACCAAGACATTAAGTGACTTGCTGTGTCAGAATCAGGATTTGAACCCAGGTCTTCTTGGCTTCAAGGCTAGCTTTCTGTCAACTACTCCACACTGGCTCCCTGCACTTATTCATTGATCATGAGAGCAGACATTCATTCCATCATGAAGTTCAATCACTGTAGGAGTCAAGCTTTTGGTACATGCAAAAAAAATTGTTTGAAACAAACAAACAAAAAAAATTACTTCCTGGGTTTTTCCATGATTAAAAAAAAAACCTTAGTATTCATGATAATAATCCTTACATAACTCCTATTTATCCATAGCCTTAAGGCTTATGGAGCAGGTTTCTTAGAGCCATCCAATTAAACAGGTAGTCCAAGTTCCACCTCCACTTCAGAGATGATCAAATTGAGGCCTGGGAAATTGAAGAGACTCCCTAAAGTCAGCTACAGGAATGGATTATTAGGGCTGGGCCTTGGGATGATAGGCTAGGACTAGAAGAGGTCTCTGAAGTTATCAGGGGATGAAAGTGAGGCTGGGAAGTACTTTACCCAAGATGCCAAAGAAAGGAAGTGGAAAGATGGGATCTGAGCAACTGGTCAGCCTCTAATGCCAGCCTTTGTTCTACCCCTGTAACAAGTGGCCCCTTCCCTGCATGGTGATGGTAACCTGTGATACCTCTCTGGCATCACGTGCCACTGGCTTTCAAATCAAATCTTCCTACAATCAGTGTAATAATTATTCACTGCACCAAATGAAAAGATAACAAATGCTGAAAGGTCAGAATATTGCTTGTGGCAAAGGGTATCAGAAGTTAGCGTACATGCTCACCCAACCCTGAGTGGGCATCCTAAGTGACGGAGCCTTTAGAGCCATCATCACACTGCATGGACTGAAAAGAGAAGAGCTGCAAGAAGCCTTCTTGGGAGGTAAGTTCCATGCTGCCTGGGCCATCCTCAGCCCTTCTCTGTGTACATGCCCCAACCAAGATGTTCTTATCCATTAGGATACTGTGTTCACAACCCTGCACAGATGGTCTAACGCCGCCCTGGGACAGGCTGAGGTAAATTCTGGGAGTTTTAGTTTAAGCAGAAAACTGAATTAATGGGGCACTCAAATGACCTCTTAATCCAATGCATAACGAGTGTCCTTGAACTTTAAAGTAAAAAGTGACATAAAAAATACTCAATGTAGGGCAGCATTTTTATTTAAATAAATATTTGTTATAATATTGAAAAAGAAGGACAATAAAAATTGAAAGCACTAAAAATCTGAATTTTATTTAACTGCATTTGAACAAATATTTGTTACTGAAAATCATCGTTAGATACATAAAGAGAAAGAGATGATAAAAGAGAGACTTCTTCATTTTTGTCTGTTGCAGTTCTTTTAGGAGACATTTAATGCCTGTTGACTGGCTGACTAACGCCAACATCAAAAATGTTTATTAAGTCCTGATGGCTTCCATTTTATTCTATCCTAGAGACTCCAGAGGGAGTTACAATGGAGGCCCAGGCCTAGGCACTGGGCTTGATGTCAGAAGAGCCTGAGGGTTAAATCCTGCATCTGAGACTTACTCGCTGTGGGACCCCTGGACAAGTCCCGTCACTTTTCTGAGGCCCAGGAGGAACAACTGCTAAAGTAGACACCCTCCAGGGCTGGTGTGGGGCTCAAAGGAAGTCATGCACGTCTGGAAAATGCCTTCCAAACTTCCAAGTGCTCCATGAACATCAGGTATCAGGACACAACATTTTGGACTCATCTTAGATAGTATTATGTTGGCATACTTTGTGTTAGCCCTCACCTGTATTATGTTTTAGACTGTCTCCTTTGATCCTTGAAACAACCCTCTAAGGTTAGTCATTACCATGGTCCTTGCTATCCCCAACTCACAGGATTGTTTCCAAGATCTATCTAATCACACAAAGTAGTGAAAGCACTCAGCAAGCTTTAAATTAAGGCCAGCTACCATGCCTACTACTGGTTACAGTTACCACTCACTAATTTAGAGTTTAAGACAAATAAGATAGATGAGGACTAAAATGTCAAAAATATGCTAACATACACGGTGACAACAGACAATTACACTGCCCTTTGAAAGCTGCATTGTACATTACACAAATTTATCCTCTTTAAGCCTCATAATAATGCTGTGAGGTAGGTACTACAGACGTGAAAAGAGGCAGCCAGCTAAAGAGAATCAGAATTTGAACCTAGCTCTTCCCAACTGCAAGTCACACTAACTCTGTGGTAAACTGATATCTGAAAATGTTTACACCAGCTTGCCCATTTTCATTAAAGATGTTCCCACGTTCCTGTTCCTCTAGAACATTTGAGTGCATCTGATCACCCTTTTGCTTACCTATCACTAGCCAACCCTACTCCTGGTCATGCTATTTTTTTCCAGAGTTCTCATTTTTCCCAGATTCAAACCCTCCTGTTCTCATCGCTATCTTCACAGCTGGGACAGTCACAAACCAATCCCTCCTCCCTTGATGACTACAACAGCCTCCTCCCTTCTAATCCAATGTGGTCACTGCTATCAGAATGATCTTGTGTAACTTTCAGCACGTTTCTGACCTGGAATGACTTCCTGTGTGCATCAGGTACACTCTAAAGTCCTCATTCAGACATTAAAGGTCCTCTAGACAATAGTTTCCCCTTGACCATCTAGGATGTAGAGGATAGTGGCTCATGGAACGCTCTCCTTCTTATGGAACAGGCCAAAGCTTAGAGAAGAAGTTGCAACACACAGATAACCAATAATGGAACACTCTAAGCCCCTATCAAGAAACAGACAAGTCAAAGAGAGAAAAAGGGTAACAGGTGGGGCACGGTGCAAGAGGCACCAGGAGAGAGAGCGTCAAAAACCAGACACATTTAACAAGCTGTAAGACAGGAGGGAGCAGGAGGCAAAAGCTTCAGGAGGTGAATGCCAGACAGCAGACAAAACATGGAGCTAGACAAGGAACAAGGGTTCGATGATCGTCCACAAGAATTTCCCAAGCACAGCATTCCAGCAGACTGTCCATAACTAAAATCAGCCTTGCTAGGAGGGGCCAGGCAAGACAGGCTGCTTCTAATGGCTGCCCCCAACAACCCTCTAGCCTTTAGCTCAAGGACACTGGGCTCCTCCTAACCATCCTGCATACAAGCCCTGTTATGGCCAGCCTTCTGCTTAAAATGTCGTTCCTGTACAATTCCTCTCTGACGGCCATTGTCTACAGTGATTTCTCCCTTTCCATTTTTCTTTATGTACTTGTAGTATGGTATTTCCACCTAACTTTAGCATTGTCCTTTCATGTTTTCACACATGTCTCTCTTGTCTCTCTTCCCAGATATACAGCAGGTTCTAGAATAGGAACCTGTCCTGCTTTTTTGTGGACCCCAAAGTACCTGTTATAGCACTGAAAACACAGCAGACATTTAATGAGCATCCACTGGATTTAACAAAAGGCTCAGAGATGTGAGCCACCAGATAAGTGAGACACAAAGTTGTATTCCTCAAAAGAGCTAAGGGAAAAGGCCAGCAATCAGGAAAACATAAGGAGAATAAAGCAACCTGGAAGCATCTGGTGAAGAGTTTGAAAGCTAACAATGAGGATATGACACGAGGTTTACAGACCAACAGTGAATGGGCCTGTCATAAAAACACTGAATGTTTTATTTAGGGCTGCTTTCAGCCTACATTATTTTCTCAATTTCAAAGCTTCATACATGCAAAAATCAATTAACCCTTCTTAATTGAAGAGGAAGCATAAAATCAAAATTTTCCCCTCACTTTTATTAGTTGGTTAGCAATTTAATATTTCGGTTTTTAGCTTCTTTTATATAACAAAATGTAAAAGTCAAGGGCTTCATTTACTTCAAATAAGTGACTGCATCTCTAGTCTTGGCTTCTAAAAACATACCTGGCTCTGCTGATGTTAAGGGCTGGCCTCCAAATTTCATTTCTGTTTGGCGAAGCTTAGTCATATTTAGCAGCTGGGTGACTTGAGGTACGTCTGTAGTTAACTGGCAGCTTCGAGGAATGATACCTGTAGGCCCGTCTGTTGTAAAGGGAGCATCGTATATATCTAGAAACAAAGAAAAAAAAATTCACTTTACAATGATGAATTCACGGATAAACACATAGGTAGAGCTCTCTAGATCTATAAAATGTCTACCTCTGTCTTTCTTTTTCTCTCTGTCTCTAGCATGGTTACTACAATGAGGTAAAGTGACTTGTCCAGTGTGTGTGTGTGTGTGTGTGTGTGTGTGTGTACATACACATATGAAATATTTAAAACTGGACTGGATGGCCTCTGAGGGCCCTTCTTGTTCTCAACTGAGGATCTTACAAACATGAATAAGTGATGATAAGTCTATAGCCTCAGTTAAATCTTAAGTTTCATGATACAGACAGATGACGGCAGTTTCCTATTTATAGAATTTCCTAATCTCAGTAAGGAAAATCAATATTTTTACTTTAATATGTTCTGAAATCTGTAACGGTCATGGTGTGGGCCATCCCTCCACCAATAGAGATCTCTGGTCTAATATTACTTAGCAGGCGGTCTTTGAAGGAGAAGGAAGAACGTGCATCCCCTGGGCGTCAGGCACTGTGCTAAGCACTTCACCAATATCATCTCACTTGCTCATCAGAGCTCCGGGAGGCAGGTGCTACTATCATCCTCATTTTATATCTGAAGAAACTGAGGCACCCTGACAGTGGTTATACGACTTTCCCAGGGTCACACAGCCAGTAAGAGAGTTTGTTGTGGCTAAAAAATTATCAGCCATAAGCCAACCTGCTTATCAACCTTTCTCAACTAAGCAAGCTGGGTCAGACAACATCCCTCATGCCACGTCTGGCAGGAGATGCTGAAGCATGTACTCTACTGGTACAGGCCTTCGAGAAGGTCACCTCTATGCCCCAAGGAGGCATCTAGTAGTGTCTATACGGAGGCAGGAAAATTAATCACTTTAGTATAAACCAGCTGAACTCCTGAGTTGTCTAGACTATAAACTCACAGACTCTCAGAGAAAGACAATGCAGTAGATTGACAGAGTTTCTAACAAACCTCCTTTCGACATTCATCAAGCATCTCCTACATGCATGGCACCCTCACTACCACCACTACCAACAAGAGCTGCTATTTATCCACTGAATGAGCTTTACCAAGTGCTTTTCATGCAGAGCTTCCAAGGATATTATCTGCACTTTACAGAAGAGGGAACTCGAGTTGCCTGGAATTACACCAGCACCAGGGGGCACTTTGGAATGGATGTCCATCTGTCTGTGTCTCTCACAAGAGCCAGTCCAAGACTTCCACCCATATCATTCTACCTCTTTAGTTTGCCATAAAGAACGGCAAAATACCAACCACATGGAACCAGTGGGCAGACGACCTGTCAAAACGGAAAACATTTGGCAAAAACGCTAACCAAACTCTGTACTGAGGTTATAAATGCCTTTTTATGAAGAATATATTTCATCTCAATTCCAACACAGACAATAAACTCAGATTTCACTGCAGAACAAGAATGCTATTCTGGAGGTTATATTTAAGGGCATCACAGAAAAAAAAGAATGCATTATTTTGATTTCTTAAAAAAATGAATCATGGAAACTCAAGTATTTTTAAGAGTGCTCTAATGGTATATGCTAAAAAACAGAACTTTAAGGGGAAAAAAAACTGCCAAAATCCCATAAGATTTTAAATGTACTTAAGTCCTCATTCCAAATGTTGTCACAAAACCTAAAAAAATATTATGAAATACCGTCGTCAAGATGACAAAATCCACCAGCTCTTGATACGGGGCAACACACAGTAGAACAAATTTCAGGCCTCTAAGTCTTGGACCCACAACACAATGAACAGCACAGAACCCAACTCACACCGAAAAGATCCAACTGCATTGGGCAATATGCTTTTTATTCCTGCATTTATTGTGTCTTTTGTATGCAGAGAGGTCTCGTGGAAGAAACGGGCTGATCTGGCTATGGGTAAGATCAAAGCAAGAATCAAACCACAATAACTCAGTCCAGCTGATGATACTGCTCAAACTTCATCATCTCAAACTTCCTCCCAGAATTAAGGAATAGGTCTGAAGGCTGTGTGAGCCTTGGACAGAATGACCTAAGAAACAGATTGAGAGCTGGGAAAGCTCATGGACATCCTCCAGCTTAACCAATTAGTTTTTGCTGTTGTTGTTCAGCAGTGCCAACTCTTCGTGACTCCATGGACCGTAGCACACCACTACTATGCAGCCAAGGGGTTTTCTCGGTAAAGATACTGCAGTGGTTTGCCATTTTTTTTCCTCCAGTAGATTAAGGCAAACAGGTTAAGTGACTTGACCAGGGTCACACAGTTAATAGGTGTCTGTGGCCGGATTTGAACTCAGGTCATCTTCTTGACTCCGGGCCTAGTGCTCTATCCACTAAGCCACCTAAGAAAATGAGGAGGAGAAGTTAAATGACTCCTTCCTTCCCTCCCCAAAAGAAAAAAAGAAAACACTCCACAAATTCTAGCATATAAAACCAAACCCGAAAACTCCTTGACTGGTCATTTTTCTGACTGCTGGAGAGGGATGATTCACCTAACTAAACAGAACTGAACCAGGGTCCACGCCCATCTGAAGCACAATCGTCATGTCTTCAAGGCCCCTAAGCCATCTTTTGTTTATTTACTGTCTATTCTAAAAATCAGAGCTGTTACAATTCATCCTGAGGTGGCAGAGATCCTATATGTAAATACAACAACATGAGAGCAGTCCAAAGTAACTGTCACTGTCAATTCTCTGATTTTTTCATTAGCTGGTGGGGCCTTCATTCAGCTGTCACCACCTAGAAAACACTCCATAAAAACTCAGACGTGACAATCTTCTCCCTAAATCACATGTAACCCATCAAAGCAGGTACGCTAAGGGGAGCAGATGCAGCATGTACACACGGGCAGTTTCCGTCAAGCACACGTCATCTCCTGAAAGGGAAATGGATTATTTATGCAGATGATCTGGATAGCGGGTCACGCTCTTTCTAGAGCCAAAGGTGAACAGTGTTGGCTAGAAAGCCTAGGGGACAGAACAGGATCCTAGGGTGAGTGACTCAGGGCCTTCCCCACCCCATAAGGAAGGCAGAGCATCAGACTATGAATGATTTCCATACACCTGCTGCTTTCTTCCATCCCAAATACATGACCAAACGGAACATTTCACAATTGCTTAGTTCCTTTGAAGAGGATCTTAAATAGCTTTAAAAACATGATTTCCTAAATCATAACAAAACGAATGAGATCACTTTCTCTTTTAAAATCCTACTTTGATGCCTCATCCTGGTGGTTGGGGAATGCGAGGAGGGCGACCCTGGATCAGCCAAGGTGGGGAAAGAATTCTACCAGGTGGGGCAGCTAGGGGGAGCAGTGGATAGAGCACCAGCTCTAGAGTCAGGAGGACCTGAGTTCAAGTCTGGCCTCAGACACATAATACTCACTAGATGTATGACTCTGGGTAAGTCATTTAGCCCCAATTGCCTCGTCAACAAAAAACAAAAAACAACAAAAAAAAGAATTCTACCAAGTTAGAAAGGCTTTGAAGATTGGCTGGCACCAGTATCCAGTTTAGCTAAATACAGGGAAGCCTATCACCAAAAGGCTGGCCACCATGGAATGATATTTTTGGTCTTGGCAAACACCAAAAACAAAAAAACAAGTAAGTTATGCAAGGGTCAAAACTGAGTGAGTACACTCAATGAAATCATGACCATGGGATCAAAGCCTTCTGAGACCTTAAACAGCATCTAGTCCAACTCCTCATTGCAGAAATGACGAATCTGAGGCCCCCCAAGACCTTAAGTGACTTGCCCAAGATCCCACAGATAGTGAAAGCACAGTCAGACTTGGAATCCAGATCCTTGACTCCAGACCCAGCATTCCTGCCAACGTACCACATCACTTGAAGACTAGTAGTACCTGCAATCAGTATTATCATTCCTCTTTATTGATGTGATAAATTCTTCACTTCTCATGACCAGATCATATTTATTAAGTACTGATTATTCCATACAGTTTTACCCAAGGAATGCTAGAGGGAAAATGACAAGGGAGGCAACCTGGGATATGAGAAAGAATGATGAACCCAGAGTCCTCAGAGACCCCAGTTTGAAATTCACCTCTGTAGTGGCCTAACTAGAGTCCTAGGTAAGTACTTGTCCCCCTTTCCTTGGGGGTTGCTGCGGTGATCAAATGTGAGTAGGCCCTTCGAAGGGCTGGCAAACCTGACGAGCCTGTCTACACGGCAGCTGCTATTACACCAGCTATCACCACCTACTGCGGCTGCTATTTCTTCTGCAGGTTCCAGTCTCCCGGCCAGTGGTTTGTGGGGAGTGCATGGCACTAAGTATCTGTAACAGTTCTCTTGCCTGAAGCAGCTGAAGCAGAACCGTGAGAGCGCGCGGGCCCCAGGCGCGAAGGCAACCACAACGAGCGCGTCAACGTCACATACTTTCCTCTGCAGCAATTTTGGAGGGAAAAAGAAACCCCAAGCCTTTTCTATTTTAGCATGAATAGAAAATAAGCTCTCTCTCAAATGATTTCCTAAAAATGTATATAAAGATGTTCAAAATATTAGAATAGCTGCTAACTTCAGGAAAAAGTTTTAAGATAGAAAAGAAATATCCCTGTCTATTTGTACACACGCTCACCTGCTGTGAAATGCTTTAGGTAAGTATGGAAAGAAAGCAATGGGACCCTGGCAGGGATCCGCTTTCGCACTCCTCCGGTAATACTGCCCCTACCTAGCTAGATGAGAGGCCTGGCTGACTGGATAACAACCCACTAAGGAGAGAGATTTGGGGTGCTGTCTGCTCAAACGCACCATCTCCGTCAACAGTGTCTCGAGGTCTGGACTTCAGCGTGAAGATCCTCGGAGCTTGCAGTGTGCCGAGACAATGATTCCGTCCAAAGACTGGAACACGGCTCCCTTGAAGATGTCACTCGTGAAGGCCACCAAGTCAATGCACAGATTGCACCACTGAAACAAAGAGGCCAAACACAGAGATGTTATTAATCACAGATGCACTGAAGACAATGACAAACCCAAAGTGAAGAAAATGGAATAGAGGCAATTACTGAGATACTTCAAAGAACCAAAAATCCCCACCTTCTCCCCACTTAATTTTGGTCAAGATGATGACCTAAGTAACAGCCTCCATTTTCTTCTTTATGTCTCTGTGTGAAACAAAGTCTTGATAATTGTAAATCCGACCACCAATGGGTCATCTATGAACGCTTCCTTCATTATGCTTAGCCCCAATGAACTTTGGGAAATAAAACTGGATACAGAGATATGGTGCTATTGGGAAGCTATTTACAGACACGTTTGACCATTCGCATATTGAAAGTAAAGGGTAAATAGTTAAACGTTCCTGCAAAAGGCCTAGTTTGTTAAGTTTTTCACTTACAACCACGTAAAAACACAAGTACTGGAGTAGAATCAGGCTTTAAATTCTGGTCAAAAGTGGCTATTTGTAATCACATAACCAACTGCATGCACCCCAGGGATAGATTGCTTCTAACCCTTTGTAAGGGTGCTTGGTATCGGCCAGCTGGTACTGAAGCTAAATGTTCTCCATCCAACAATCACAAAAATAGTTCCTTAAACAAAGTCTCCAAATGGCCTGGCTGTGTAAAGGAAAAGAAGAAAATGATCACTTACCTACAATGTTAAGAACCCTGTAGGACTTGGGGGCACATAAAGGCCCAGTGTCTGGGCGTCGGCTATACAGAAGTAGTATTTAATATTTAAAGATTTTAAGCAATGTGTGTCAATACCTTTTTTATGAAACTAGGACTTTTAGTGATGATATAAAAGCACAAATTATATTATTGTGCTAATTCGTCACAGTTTACAACTACTGTCATTCTACAATACAAAATTGCAACATTTCTATCTATAAACATTATGTATGTAAGATGAGGCTGCTGCTACATTGAAAATCTAAGTCAATTCTAAATTATCTGATTATCTGAGTAATATGATGGGGTGGGAAAGTTGGGAAACCTGGGTTCAAGCCCTGTCTCTCATAGTTACTCAATGTCTACCTAGGAAAGCTTCTTAATCTCTGCTTCCACCTCCTAATCTCTAAAAGGGCCATACTAATATCTGTACCTTTGGGATAAGATTAAGATTCCAAGGTGATAGTGTTCAGGATTGGGACAAGTACAGGTCCCGAGCCTTATTGGGCACATAGTGGAGTTTAAACAGATCAAAGGCAATCAATGGATGAAACTGAATTGAGAACTGAGAACTGTACCTTTGCGGGGGAGCTTGATGTTAAAACCTCTCAGGGTGTCTGAAGTATATTATGCATTAGATCTAAGGAGGGGGAATAGGCAAAGAATGGGGCAGAAGGATGAGGTTGAAAATAGTCTTCTCTCTCTCCTCGCCATCTACACAGGGTGCCTCCACTCTCTCTTCTCTCATTTTTCATACTCTCATCAATCTGGCTTCCAAATGCATTACTCAACAGAAACTGCTCTCACAAAAGGAGAGCTTCAGTTTCAACTCTAATGACCTTTTTTCTCCCTCCTCATCCTTCTTGATCTCTCAGAAGTCTCTGCTCCTTAATATTCTCTCATCTCTCAGTTTTCATGACACTACTCTCTCCCTCTGCTTCTTCTACCTGTTGGAGGCTCCTTCTCAGTCTCCTTGGCTGGATCATCATATGGCATCTTTCATGTCATGCTCAATAACTGTGAGTGTACCCCAAAACTCTGCACTGGGCCCTCCTCTCTTCTCTCTCCACACTCACTCACTCGATGACCTCATCAGCAACCATGGGTTCGATTATTACCTCCCTGCAGATGACTCCCATATATATACATAGAGAGATATCTATAGATGTCTCGTCCTACTTCTTTCAGAGACCCAATCCTGCATCACAAACTACTCATAGGACAGTTTAAATTAGAGGTCATGGAGACATCTCAAACACACCTCCTTTGCGGTCACCAGGTTTGAACTCCTGGTGTTATTCTTGAGTCCTCCTACTCCCCTCCTGTCAGCTGCCAAATCTTGTTCTTTCCAACTCCCAAATATCTCTTGCCTATGCCCTCTCCTCTCTATGTCCTACAGCCATCCCCCTAGTGTAGGCCCTCTTCAGCTCTCAACCGGGGATTATGTTAGCTTCCTCACTGATCCTGTTGCCTCAAATCTCCCTGCACTCCTTCACTCAGTTACCAGTGATTTTCCTGAAGTAACGTTTTACTACATCCCCTCTTTCTGTTCAGTAAATTCTAGGGGCTCTCACAGATCCATTTGGCACCTGGAGCTCTTCACCACATGGCTAGTCCCTTCCTTCCTCTTCGGTCTCCTTACACTGGCCCCCTCTGATCACTCAGAAGAGTGACTCGCTGCTCTTGAACTGTCTCCCACCTTCTATGGTTGGTGCTTACTGTCTCTCAGGCCTAGAATGTTCTCCCTCCTCTCTTCCTACCACGTGGAAATCCTTGGTTTCTCTTCAGAGTTGGCTCAAGTGCCATTTTTGGCAAGGACAACAGTCCTGGCTGGTCCCACCAGATGTCAGTGCCTTTCCGTCCAGGGTTACTTGCTGTCTGTTAGCTCCCTACGATCAGGGGCTGTTTCGTGGTTGTCTTGGTGTCACCAGGGCTCACTAAGTATCTACTCTGTGCTTGACACACAGCAGATACTCAATAAAAGCTTGACTTATTGATCTGCAACTATCTGAGATTGATGTTTAATGTTATATAGATCATTGTGTAGGTACAACCAGAATGTTGTGCTGGAACCACATTTCAGTACCATTTCCCATGGCAAGGGAAGAGAAGGACCAATGGAAGCATGTGACATAGGGTATGTAGGCATACCCAGAATACCCTTCTAGGAATGACTATGAGTCCTTGCAAGGACGAACAATGTTGACTTGTGTTTGCAGCATTATCTGAGTACACCAAATCAATCAGTCAGTCAACAAATATTTATTAAACTGCTACTATATTTCAGGAATTGTGTAAATTACTGGGGCTATAAAAACAAAAATGAAACAGTCCCTGCATTCAAGCAATTTACAGTCTATTGAAGGAGATAATATTTACAACATGTACACATCTAGTCATAAAGGTCTTAGAAAAACAGAATAACTTTTGCCTTCAAGGAGATCAAATTCTGTTTGGGGATACAAGGTACACATTAATAAATACATACAAATTTTTGTTTGTTTGTTTTGGACTGAACCTGTGATTTTCAGCTGGGTAGGGAACTCATGGAGACAAATTTCCTCTGCCAGTACCCTCTCTCCAATTTATAGTCTTAGAAGATATCCTAGGGGGTCTGAAAGGTTAAATAACTTGCCCAAGGGCATGAAGTCTGTATATGGAAGAGGTAGGACTAGAACCCAGATCATTCTGATTCCAAGGCCAGCTTTCTTGACTCTGCCATGCTGCCTCACATTCACTGTTTACCTACTGACCTTAATGCAAAGGCAGGTAGAGGAGATGGCTTAAAATATATTGGCAATATAATCCAGGATTAAGTAAAAAAAAAGTGGCCAATGGCTTGACAAATGATCAGAGTTATTAATATACAACTACATATTATGTTGATTTTTCCCACTCAATTGATGAGCATTTATTAAGCATTTACCATGCGACAGGTATTGTACATGCCCTTAGAAATAAAAACAGAAACAAAAGAGCCTTTGCTTCAGAGAGCTTATAGAGAAGACAACAAACACATATAGACATAAAGTAATTGGGGGCAGGAGATATCAGCCACTAGAGGGATCAGGAAAGGCCTACTTGTATGTGGTGGCACCTGAGTTAAGCCTCAAAGGAAGCTGGGTCTTCCAAAAGGTAGAATAGGCCAGAGAGTACATGCTAGGCATGGGCAACAGCCTGGGCAAAGGCAAAGCTTCTGGATGGAGAGATGGAACTTCACGGGGGAGGAATAGCAAGTCAATCAGCTTGACTGGATCACAGAGCATACAAAGGAGAATGATGGGTAATGAGCCTAGAAGGGGAGGCTGGAGCCAAACTGCTTCAAACACCAGACAGAAGAGTTTGTATTAACACCTGGAGCTTCTTGGGTGAAGGGGCAGGACGTCCTCGCCATCCCCAACATGCACATTTGTTTAACAGTTCAGGGCTCACAAAGACCTTTCCAGAGATCGTCTCATTTGTTTCTCACAACAACTCCTGTGAGGCTGCTGCTATTATTCTTTTTGCTATTATTCCCATTTTAGAGATGAAACACGAAGCACGGTCAGACACATTTTAGGACTTTCCCTCTGGCAGAGGGGTGTAAGATGGACCTGAGTGAGCAGACTTGAGGCAGGGAGAAAAGCCAGGAGGCTAGAAGTAATGAGAACCTGTGCCAGGGGAGTGGCCTAGGTAGAATGGCTGGATGGAAGAGACATGGGGACAGAATCACCGAGATCTGGCAACCGATGAAGGAAAGTGAGGAACAACTCTGATCGTAAGACCTTTGTTGACTAGAAGGACGGTAATACCCTTGACAGTAACAGGGACGTCAGGAAGATGGGTGGGTTTAGGGGAAAACACACTGAGTTTTGTTTTGGACATGTTCAACTTGAGATGTCTGCGGGCACCCATTTTCATCTGTGCAAACAGATTTGTTGTTGCTCAATTGTTTCAGTTGTGTCTGAATCTCTGTGACTCCATTTGGGGTCTTCTTGGCAAGGATAGTGGAGTGGTTTGCCATGTCCTTCTCCAGCTCATTTTATAGATGAGGAAACTGAGGCAAAAAGGGTTAAATGACTTGCCCAGGATCATATACCTAGTAAGTATCTGAGGCCAGATCTGAAATCAGTTCTTCCTGATTCCAGGCTGAAGTTCTATCCAGTGTTTCACCCAGCTGCTCCAAGTACAGGTGGATGCTAGAATGCAACTGGAGCTCACAAGAGAGACTAGAGTTCTAAAAGGGAATCTCAGAACTGAGTTGAGACGTGCTGAACGTGGGAAACTCTTAATATCACAAATAATGGCTCTAACTATAGCTTATCACAAAGAGGATCGCCTGTGTCATAGAGAAATTCCCAAAGATGGTCACCTATGACACGGAGAAATTCCCTAGAAATGATATAGTCTTCCTTCTAGATGTTCCTTTTTCAGATGATACTATATTGACTGCATCAAGCCCCAGAAAATGTTAGGGTCCCCTCAATGAAAATAATCACCATTTAAAAGAAATCCGCTTAACCAGCCACAGGAAAGAACAAAGTGGGTTAATTAGATGTATTGTCCAGATGACTTTGGGCAGGCACTGACCTCAGAGCGCAAATGAGCCAAGCACAGAATTAGCTAAGAGGAAGCCACTGCATCTGGAAAATGACATAATGACTTTAGTGATTCCCAGCTGCTCACACAGACTCAACTCACAATTGATCTTAACAGTAACAGTCTCCCAAATACCTCATGATGATGAACCGTGAGATACCACAGTCTCCAAAGAATCACAAACACAGGCGTTCAAGGGAGAATGGAGAAACTGGAAAAAGTCCGAAGCAGTAAGTTACCAATGATGATTTGTGTGCATGAAGTAGCATGAGATAACAAAGAGGAAATCTAACTGAAAAGTGAAGTGGACTATGGTACTTGGAATCAAAGAACTTGGGTTCAAATCCTAGCTCTGCCATTTATCATCCACATGATACTAGATAAGATACAACCTCTCTGAGCTTCAGTTTCCTCATCTGCAAAGTAACTGTTACATTAGACAAAGGTCACTAGGACCAACGGTTTTAAGGGGTCTTTCAGGTCTAAACTCACAAGAAACGCAAGAAACGAATAGTCTGAGCTCAGCACTGGCGGTGACAGAGTGGTAAAAGACCCTAGAGGAAGGCCCCTAGCCTGTAAACTATCCCCATGGGGAGTTTATCGGAGGATAGGGATAAGAATCGCACAGGATGAGGGCTGAAGAACAACAAGGAGAAGGGGGAAGGTACTGCCCCAAAAGAATGAGTGAAATGAGAAGAAGCAAGAAGTTTAAGGGTGAAGATAATACATTTCTTTTTAAGCACGTGTGGTTTGAATTGCGGGCACAAAATTCAGGTAACTATGTGTACTAAAGATACGCACAGGTCAGTAAACCCTAGAAGTAAGGTCAGGGCTGGGGAGAGAGAGAGCTCTGGCAATCACTTGAGCAGGATGGTAGTTAAAGCTGTGGAAAGGAATGAGATGAAAACAGGACAAAGCAAAGGGAGAGGAGGTCAAGGCTCAGATGAGTAAGGCTGCAGCCACAGCGGACAGAATCTGCCTCAGTCACACAGACCCGCCTTCACACTCTGTGGCTGGGTGACCCCAGATAAGCCACTGAACTTTGCAGTGTTCCTAGACAACTACGTGAGGCTACAACCTGCAGAGCAGAGGCCGATCTGCACGCGGACAAGGAGCTTCTCCTGAAGTTCCATAATGACCTCCTGTTGTTGGAGCTTTAAACTGCTCCAGCTATTCTGCAAAGCAACCCGGAGTGATACTATGAAAGGGACCCAAATGCCCATACCCTCTGACCCAGGGACTGCATGACTAGGCATTCACCCCAGGCTGGTCAAAGGCAGAAAGAAATGACTTAGATGCACCAAAATATTTATAGTGATACTTTCTGTAACAGTAAAAAACGAGAAACAATACAGATGACTGGGGAATGGGCACACAAACTGTGATATTATACTAGAAAAATGAAAGTGCAAATACAGAGAAGTCAGTATGGGAAGCCTCATTACTAAAAGCTGAATGATTTGCCACAAATATCAATCGTGAAATTAAATCTAATACAAGAAATAATGACAAATCAGTAGACACATGGTCAACCATTATGGCCTTTGAGGGATCACTGTTCTCAAGGTGTCATGAGACAAGACACTTGCTGCTAAAATCTCTCCCTGTCTTTGAAGGGCACAAAGAGAAGTCCTGTGTTTAACTGTTTCTCTTTTGGCCAGCAACCCTGAGGGTCTTCCCCTCCCAGTTTGATTTTTTTTTTTTAATTAAAGGGGGCATCCCTTGACTCAGTTCTTAAAGAGGCCTATTCACTGAATGGACATTGCCTCACTCAAAGTGAGAAACCTGAAAAGACCTTCACTTAAAAGGCCAAGGACTGCCACTGCATCCTGGGCCATCTCCTGTCATCCTGACTGAAATCTGGCTGCTGGACTCAGATGGCTCTGGAGGAAAAAGTGAGGCTGGTGACTTTGCACAGCCTTCCCTCACTCAAATCAAAGTCAATTGCAAGTCACATCATCATCTCCCTGAAGTCATAGTCCTCTTTGAGAATGAAAGCCAAACTACAAACCAGCACAGGTAGGTGGAGTGCCCATGTCATCTTTCTAGAACATTCACTTTGGTTCTAATTCAACCATTATTTACTCAAAACCTACTCCATGTTCACTAGGGCTGGCAGGGGTGGCAAAGGGATCCCACGTGATTATAGCCAAAAAATATCTGCTGGATAAACAGTGAGGTTTACTGCAGCCAACTAGGGGTTTGCCTGAATCCCACTGGATGTTTCATAACACAAGTATTATTTATGGACCTTTATGGGCATAGACTAGATATTAAGGGGCACAACTAGGACAACATTGATCTCATTAGATAATGAGGTATATATACTCTGCTGAATTCAGACAAAGAATAATGTTTACTTCAACAAAATTTTTATATTAACAAAATGTTAACTAACAAAGGTTGCTATATGAACCTACAAATTAAGGGACTATTAAATTCCTTCCTTCCTAATTATGGTAACACATACAATTTAATTCTTAGAAATCACTGAACAAACAAAATTCCTTTATACAAGAGGATCAGAGCAATTTATAAGGCCTTACTCCTTCAAACATATTTTTTAAAATTTAAGAACTTCTAGCACTAGATGCAAATGGTTTTTTCAGTTATATACCAATTGAAAGATACTTACAATTTTGCGCTTGATCATAAAAAGTGGAATTTTTGCATGGAGAGGGGTTGCAGAAAGCTCCTTATGGACTGTTGATAAATACAATCTTCTTTTAATGTTCCCTAAATCAGTTATCCTGAAAAAAAAATGGAGAAGAATAAGAAATATTTATCAACCACCACCTTTGGAAAATCCATTACAAACCCCGTAAAATATGGTACAATTTATAAAGTGACTCTTCATAGGGACAGGGAGCTAATGTGGAACTTAAGGATTACCTTTTCATATGATTATTAATTATATTAAATGATATATTCAACTCAAACTTGCCAACAAGGATGCAGCTCTAAGTTCACTTAGGATGTTAATTTATCTCGGGACTCCATATGAGATTTTTACAGTCTATGAAAGAATTCAACCTACATCACTGGGCCTTTAATAATCACACTTGCTCCAGGCCCTTAAGCTTGTGCTACCTTGGGACACACTGTTATCTACTACACAGGAAAACGGACCGCTTGTTTTCTATAGGTTGTCCAACCTGTTTCAACACAGACACAAAAGCAGTCTGGCTGGCTTCCCTTCTAGGGTAAGTAGAACTCCTTTCCAACCCTGAATGAGCATGGATCTGTTTACTGCTCACTCTGCAGGTCCTCACTGAACACAGCCATGAACACAAAGATTCAGTTTGCCTGAAGAGTACTGAGGCTTTTTTCTTGTAGTAACCCCAAAAACTGGCAATATCCCTACCTGCCTCATAGCATTATCCTGGAGAAATAATATTTCCTTACAGGATCTTTTTTTTTTTAAATCTAGAAGCAATGATTAATTCATCTCCCATTATTAGCCATCCTATTTCTACTACACTGGCAATTTTCTACAATTAGCAATAGCTCATTAAAAGATCTCTCTTCCATTGTTTTTATAATATTAGAAATATGTTCTTTTTAAAGCTACTGTTTCCTATAGTTATAGAGTACCCTGATCATCTTACAACAATTTGTAAATCCCCTTACTATTTTTGGTAGTCCCCGTTCTCTTTCCTTCTGATTGGGCAGATGTTCACATCTGAGTGTAGGGCTGGTCCAGCTGTCGGCAGAACGAGCAGCTGGCATGAATTCAGAGACCTGTTGCCCCCTCAAGATCTTCCACACCTGCTTGACGATGCCTGGCATTCTTTAATGCTTTCATTTTGCAGAGCAAGGGCTTAAAATGCAACCACCTCACTGACAAACACATACAAATTTCATAAGATTTTTCATGAAAGCAGTTTGTAGTGGGGACTGGGGCAAAGGGAGAAAGGGAATGCCGAGGTGAGGGAGAGACAAAGAAGGGCACAGAAAGAGAAGGCTAGAGACATCAAAGACAAACTTAGTCTACAGAGAGTTGCTAGATTTTGTTTGAACAGACCTCTGCTTTCACCTGTGCTGGGAACAGTAAACACCTTCTCTCAATAGACATCTACACCTTCTCTGCAACTTAGTCTTAGAGATGTGCCCGGGGTACTGAGAAGGCAGGAGATGTGACCACATCCCAGAGCCAGTATATTCTGGAGGTGGCACTTAACCTCAGGTCTTACAGACTCCGAAGGCATCTATCTATGCACTAGTCAACACTGCCTCTCTGTCGCTAGGTGGATCCTTCTAAAGCAGTGCTGAGGACATTACTTTCTTGCTCTCCACTCAGGAAACCCCAACTCCTTAGCCTGGCATTCAAGGCCTTCCACAATCTGGTCACAAACTGCTGGTCAAATCTTAGCTCATATTATTTTCTCTTTCAGATATGCGATACTAAATACTGGTCTGCTTGTCGTTTCCTCAGCCTAGGAATTTGCTTTGCTCTCTGCCTTCGCTCACACCACCCCCTACGCTTAGCATGCCTTCCTTCTCAAACTCTACCACCTCACATGCCAGCTCCCCTACGTATCCTTTGTTGACTCCTTCCCCTCACAGCCCCATCACCACACCCAACCTTAGGAGAGCTTTCCCTCCACAAACTCTCTCATCAGGTTGTCATCAGGAACCTAAGACATATCTGCCATGTGCAACGCACCATGCAAGTTACTGGGAGAAAGACAAACAGGATGCAGGAGTGCCCTCAAGGAGCTTACAATCTAGTAAGAGGAAGGAATCAGGCTCACAGGTCAGGGCCATCCACATTAAAACATGTTAGCAACATGAAGTTATGCAGTGCTATGAGGTCAGCCGAGAAGGGGTTGGGTCACCTCTAGCCGAAGGGATCAAGTAAGAATGCCTCACGACAAAGACCTCTGGGTGAATGGATCAAGGGCAGAGAGAAGGCACTGTCCACACAGCTGTGTGCCTCATTCAGTGTTGGTCACTTTGCACAATAATTCATGACGTACATATTTCACACAGGATCACAGGAAGTAGAACTCAAAGGGGGACCCTCAGCCATTTAGTCCAACTCCTGCATTTTACAGATGAGCTAACTGAGGCCCAGAGAGGATGGTGGGAAAAATAAAATGGGAGCTCCACCTTCTAGCTCTAGCAGCTCCACACACCCCGGCCCCAAACCGTCTTTTCTGACCTCACCGGCATCGTTTCCCTTCCTAAATGTTTGCGATTCAGCCAAGCTTGCCTCCCGCGACATAGGATTCCAGCGCCTCTGCACACTCACGATGCACCACCACCTCTCCTCCTTTAAGAAGCAGTGAAGCCTTTCTCGACTTGCCAGGGCCTTATCCCCACTGCTCAGTCTATATTTGTATTTTATGAGTTATATTTATGCTTCATATATATTTGTATGTCTATGTGTTGCTTCTACCATTAGGAAGGAAGATCCTGACAAGTAGGAATCGTTTCATTCTTTCTCCTTGTAACCTCAGTTCCTGGCACACGAGAAGCTGGTTTATATTTGCTGATTGCCTAAAAATTCAATTCAATTACATCTGTCTTAGTGGCTGGCCTCTATTTCCTCAATAATTACAACCGGAGGTCAGATCCTCTACAGAGAGAGAGAGGAAGGACAAAGTGATGAAGGAGATGCTTTTTTGGATGATAAAGGTGGCAAAGGCTTGGGGATGAAGGCCAGAGCTGACACAGGGTGAAGCAGAGGGACACAGAATTTAAAAGGAGAACCAAGAGGTCAAAATGTTGAATTTGGAGGGCACAGCCTTCACAGAGACTGATCTAAAGTTGCACATTAACATAAATGAATAAAATCTAATCTATGGAAGAATCCCTAAGTTGTGATATACATGGCAAAAGACAGCAGTGGCAGGAGATCCCACACATGGTTGTGAGTGATTATTCTTTCTTTGAATAAAGAAGTCATAAAATCTTGTTATGTCAACAACACTGCAAAATGCTTCCTATCCCTGGATATAAAGACATATGTTACAAAAAATTATGGGTCCAACAATGAATTGAAAATCTACAGTATGAGGATCAGACTTGTTTAATTTGGTGATGGTTCTCAAGTGAGGAATTTTTGGCCACAGTAACTGTCAAAGACTTCCTGTTAGCGGTCCCAGCGGAGCTGCAATCTACACTGGAGGAAGGAGTACCGCCAATGAAATGTCAGGTCACTGAGGCAGTCACTCTCAAAGACAGCTAAACTGCTCATTTAGAATTTAGAAGAGCTTGGGGGGTTTTAAAGTTAGTTCTTTATAGGAGAGAAAAGGCCAACTACCACGCAGGAAGAGCCAAGAGCTTTCTTGGGGTGGGGGTGAGGAGTGTGAAGCTGTCAGGAAACAGTAACAACGCAAGACCGGGTCTTTCTTTCTTTACCTTCTAGCCCCTCCCCACCAAGAAAACTAGCAATGGCATTACTTCTCTTGTACATAAAAAAGCATTTTTAAAGCCACATGAGAGTTAATATATTTTTATTTCTGTACCTGAGTATTCATATATAAGGGTCAGACATATGATAGAAAAAGTAATGAGACCGTGTTGAGAAAAAATGAGGTAGTCAACAAGAAAATCAACCTCATTTATAATAATATTCTAGTGATCAGCAGCAGGTGCATAACTCTCTCAGCTATGGTCATTAACTGTATTCATCTCACATTTAACATCTACATTTGCAAAACATTTGAAAGTAAAATTACTTTTCAATTCAATTTTCAATTCTATTTTATATCTTCATCTTTGATTGACTATTTTTCCCTCACAATGGCATGTGCAGGGAGAAATGTGAATAAATAGTGGTAACTACCCAAGAGAAAGAACTCATCGGCTCCGATTACCTCTTCACTTTGCTCCTTCCTGTGTGTATAATCCCTTCCCATTATTTGTTAATGTTCTCTTCAGGCTTAGAATGAACTTGGGGGAAGAGGAGGACTGATGGCACACTGCTGAAGGGCTGACTTGTTCTTAAAGCTGAAATGTTTCTTCTTTTTCTTTGATGACTTTACTTATCAATTTCTCAAATATGAGAGCCCATCTTTCAGTAATGTGAATAAATAACCAATTCTTATGTAATGCAGTATTTAAAATGTTATCACTGATACCCTACCACAAAGATACAGCAATGTACTTCTGTGGTATCTTTTAGTATGAAATCTTAAATGTGTATGTGATGTTTAAGTCTCTACATCAACTGGTGCTGTGAATGGCAAGGAAACACGTGAGCAGAGAAGCAGGTTCTTTCAGATTCCTCATCAATCAGGTCTGACGTTTCCCAAGCCTCACCAGGGCGAGATGCTTTCTGGACTCTTCCTTAGGCCCCTTCCTCTGGAGCCGAGGATCCCCTGGGACCGCTCTAGCCTCAGCAGCTGACGGGTGGTTCTTGCACGCCTAAGTCACCTGGCTGTGTTCCCTTTAATAGCCGTATTCCACTTCTTCTCATGGCAGATTCAGAGAAACAGGAAAAAAGCGTGTGAATTTCTGGGGAATGAAATGAGCAGAACCAGTAGAACAATGGACACGATCCCCACGACGATATAAAGGAAAACAACTAGGACAAAATCCAACTGTCTGATCAAAATGACGAAGCACGATTGAAGGAGACTTCTACGCTGAAGCGTGGGTGCCACGGACTTTGGAAGAAAGATGAGGGACTGGAGAAGGATGCACGGCACGTGCGTTTTCAGACATGACTAACGAGTTGATTTGTTCTGCTTTAGTATTGTTACCAGGGAGGGCGTCTATTTGCTGGGAAAAGGGAGAGGAG